TTTGCAGCGCCTTTGCTTCTGTGGCTACCGGAGCTCAGAGGGAGGGTGGATGGGGCAGTCGCTGAGACTGAAAATTTAAGAAAAACAAAACAACACATAAACCCCTCCAAAAAAAATCTTGACTGCTGAGGAGGTTGAACATTTTTCCTTTAACAGTCAGTGTTGTTTTCTTAAATCCCTTAATGTATTTGTAATTATAATGTACTAATTGTAATAAAAATAGAAGGGAGAGTAAAGTAGAGCAAGCAGATGGGGGAGGGAAGAAGAGCAGGAAATGAAAGGTGTTGGGAAATGAGATTGATCAGTTTTGTGCATGTACCAATATAGCATTCTGAATCCCAGTATTATGTCTAATTTTAATACAGCAATAAGAATATTTGAAAAAAATCACTTTAATCCCGTTGGTGATTGAGATAATTAATCAGGTTTCTATCCCTTGAAGGACTAGTTTGTTCTCAATTTACGTTTGAGACATAGCTCTTGAAGGTCCCTATTTTAGCCAGAGTGGCTTGCCAGGGTCTTTTCTCTGGGACAGGTCTACCTTCATATTTTATGCTCTTAGTCCCATGACTCTGTGGAAATCTGGCATGAATTCATAACATATCAGCACACTACATGCCTCCTTAGGAATCATTAACTGCTGCTAGCAAAAAACAGCCTCAATTCAATTGTTGAGATTAACTTTGAGGTATTTTTGCCCTATTTTTTTCTATTTTTTATTGATGCATTATAATTATGCATTATAATGGGATTCATTGTTGTATATTTGTACATGCACACAATACAACAGTATAATTTGGTCAGTTTTGTTCCTCAGAACCTCTCCTTTACCTCCACCATTCCCTCCCCTTGTAAATAAATTTTTATTTTAAATGATTTTCCCCACTTTTCTAGATGTTTTTCCTTGGACATTTGATCCAACTTAGCTAGTCTTTTGTTGCTGGAAGCAAAACTACATTTATTTTTTTCAAATGCTTAGTTTGGTATAGTCCTTTATTATCTTAGTTTTTATATTCTTCATTGTGTCTTCTAATGTTTAGGAGCCGGAGAACAGGTGTAATAAACCTTCTATGGAATTTTCCAGATGGACATATTGTCTAGCATAGATTTAGTACCACAGATATTTCTTTCTCATTTTATTATATTGCCATTGCTCATTCTCATTTATGCCCCTGTCCTTGACTCTTTGCCTGTTGTTTATGAGACACTCATCTCTTCCAGTCTTCAACTATTCTCTGAGATTTCAGCCACCTGGTTAACAATTGATCCTAGTTACCCAGCTAACAATAGATAATGAATCCTCTTCACACTACTGTCCTCCAGACTTACAAAAATATAAAAAACATTGCTTGTATGTATGTGTGTGTATGTATATATATACACACACACACACACACATACATATGTATGTGTATTCAGTAGAGACAAATTTTTTCAAAAAGATAAATTTGAAAAATAATGATTGTTTCAAGTTATATGAACTTTTAAAATGTTAGCACACAGATGAAGATATAGGCTCATTCACTCACTATTGATTATCACATAAAGAAGTATGATATATAGTTTTAAATGTCATAAAATAGTCTCAATGTAAAGCATGTTTTGATTTAAGTAATACAGTTACAAAAGTATTGCTTGAAAAACTGTGAACATGTGCAGAGAATGTGTGTATAATCCTGTGCTTAGTAGAATTGCTTATAATAACAAAAACTTGGAAAGATTTGTTAAACTTTGAAATTTTATTTGTTAATTTGATAATAACTTGATATTATTATTATTATTATTATTATTATTATTAGGTACTAGAAAGTGACCCCCGGGGTGCTTAACCACTTAGTCATATCCCCAGCCCTTTTTTGTTGTTGTTGTTGAAACAGGGTATTGCTAAGTTGCTTAGGGACTCCCTAAATTGCTGAGGCTGGCTTTGAACATGTGATCCTCCTGACTCAGCCTCCCAAGCTGCTAGGATTACAGGCATGTACCACTGCACCTAGATAAAATTTTAACTAAAATAATAATCTAGGGGCTGAGTTTGTGGCTCAGCACGTGTGAAGCACTGGGTTTGATGTCCAGCACTACATAAAAAAATAATAAAACTAAATAAACAGTTATTGTGTCCACCTACAACTAAAAATATTTTAAAAAATAATATAACATATTAATGTCAGAAATTGTTATTTAGACATTTTAAAAAATATGAAAAATATATTTTGGATTAATATTTATCCTTTTCTGAGATTCCCAGTTAGTGATAGTCAACCCTCAGTTCTTGCTCTGGTAAACAAGTGATCTTAGCTTTAATTTTCACAGTATCTTTAAAGGAAAAGCATATTAATTTAATAAATGATAAAGCTCAATTAAATATTATTTCTGAACATGCAATATATAAAAATATGAAATGAAACAAGTTATAGATATTTTACCATATGATTTCATTTTGAAAATGTCTGTATATATGCATAATGTATCCAATAGCATGCAAGATACAACACTAAATATGTTCACATATCATCCTCTTCTCAATTTATTTGTTAAAATGGAGTCATTTTCATGCATTTGATTCTGTGCATCACCATGATGATGATACCTAAATTGCTGCTGAAGCTTAGTATCATGAAGATTTAATGTTTTGGGAAAGAATACTTGATAGATTGTGCCCTATATTACAAAGCACATGATGCTTGGTTATTTCCTATTTTCTGATGTGGTTTACCTGCTATTGTTATCTATTATATAGATCTTTTAATTAATTAGCAGTTTTTAAATGATCATAGTAAAATTCTACCTTTTTTTTTATGTATTAGCTGAAATGTTCTTATAAAGAGAAACCCTCATCAACATTTTGTGTATCTTTATATTAACTTTTATAGGAAAGAGAATAAATATTTGATTCTTCTCTGTTTTCAAATTTTCATAAGAATAAGTTGTTTTCTTTGTATTCTACAGATGTCTCCACTAAGGTTTTTTTTTGTTATTGTTTTGGAATATCCTTATATATTCCTAGCTTTGCAATGTATTGATGGGTTTTTAACCCCTGTAACAGGATTCTGAGCCAAAGAATGATAAAATTTACCTTGTGCTTTTAAAAAATCATTCTGCCTGATTTGTGGAATATAGATGGTAAGAGAGCAGGTGTTAAATTAAGAGTGCCATTTAGAAAGCTGTCTAATCTAGGAGATAGATGTTGGTGGTGGTAGCAATGGAAGAGGTGAGAAGTGGCTAGACTCTGGGTATATTCTGAAGGTAGAACTAAGAGAATTTCCTAATCAGTTGGAGATAGAGTTTGAGAGAAAGAGTACTCCAGGCCACATCCACATTTTTAGAATTTATTTATTTTTATTTGTTCTACTTAACTGTACATGACCACATCCACATTTTTAGTCTGAGCAAGTGGAATGTATAGATCAAATGTTCTACCCACATTTAATTTCACTTCCAGTGCCTTCCCTACACAGGGAAATTCCAAAGGTTGTGAATAACAGGACTTTTTTTTTTTTTTTTACTGCAGGTCAATTAACTATTACTTATAAGTGTGTCCTGAGACAACAATGAATAATTAATGTATAATATATATAAAATACAAACCTAGAGAACGTTCAAGTTAGAGGTCAAAAGGAAGCTTTCTGAAAGCCCAATTCCGTTAAACCCTATCTCCAGAAAAACCACTGTTATTACCACTACTGGTACATTGTTTCATTGAATGTGACAAAAATAAAATGCCCTTAGTGAATATACCCATGGGAGACAGAATTGGTGCTATCTTTTTGTAGATAAAAATTGAACTTCTGGATCTTACCACATGGTGAAGTGCATATTTTGGCAGAGAGTGTGCATATTATAAAGGAAATTTCTAGGATGGATACAGTCAGGAATACAATCAAAACACTTTACAGGTATACCTGAAGCTGAAATATCAGATAAAGTAGTCTTCGTAGTTAAATTTTAAAAATAGTAGAGACAAAGAAAATGTTTTATAATAGTAAGAGGTTTAGTCCCACAGGAAGACATAAGAATCCTACGTGTGTATACACTTGGTATGATTTGGAGAAGGGTCCTCCAAAGGCCCGTGTGTTTTTAAAGGCTTAGTTCCTAGCCAGTGACACTATTGGGAAGTGATGGAACCTTTAAGAGGTGAAGCTTACTGGGAGAAAGTCAGGACTGGGTCATGCCCTGGAAAAGCAGGACCCTGGCTCCTTCCTATTTCTTTCTTTGCTTCCTGGCTGTCATGAGATGGGAAGCTCCTCCTTATGTGCTTGCTCATGATGTACTGTGTCACCATAGACCCAAAGAAACAGGGTCAAGTGATCATGGACTGATACCTCTGAAAGTATGAGCCAAAATAAAACTTTCTTTCTTAAAATTTTATTTCTCTCAGATATTTTGTTACAGTAATGCAAAACTGACTAATAATACACGATTCCATACAACAGAGCCTCAAAGTAAATGAGACAAAAACTGATGGAGCTGAAAGGAGAAATAATAATTGGGGCATTTAACATCCCACTCTCAGAAATTGATAGAAATTGCTAGACATAAAATCTATAAGGATATAGACAATCTGAATAATATAATTAATATGATAACCAGGTCTACATGAAACATGAGATTATCTATGAGGTTTTAGTCATGTTGTTAGATTAAAGAAACATCAGAGAAGGCAAGATTTGGATATCTTCCTGGTGTAGATATTCATTTCAACCTGTGAATTCTTACACTTCAGTTCTTTATAAGTACTGCTTCACATTTTATGAGGTTTAGCATTAATTTCTTCCTCTTCCAAGATATCTCCCCTGAATGTACCACCAGTGAGAAAAGGGTCTCATGTCTGGACAGACAGAGGAGTTTTTTTGGTTGTTGTTGTTGGGGGGAGGGTTGTATGATTGGTCCTTGGAGCAGGCTGACATTTTGCTTGCCCTACCACACTGTTAACCGTTGATGTAGTGTATCATAAGTGGACCATTTATGTGTCTTTAAACTTGTGTTTTTGTTCCCAATTTCAGAAAAAAATGATGAAAGCTCTCTGCAAGAAAAAGATAAAGGTGAGAATTCTTTCCAAGGGAATTCTGACAAGGAAAACGTACATTATGAAGATGATAAAAATGAGCTTCCACCATCAAACCTCCAGAAGGATGATGGAAACAACCAGATGGTGGATGTCCATGAGGACCCTGAAGTAAGACAGTAAGTTACCAGACAACCCGTTTTAAATTTAGCAATCCATAGGACTGTGCAACTCTTTCATTCTCTGTTATCTTGTTCTTCTCTCACTGAAAAAGTGAAGAGTGATAAAAGTAGAATATAGAGCAGTCATAATGATAGGTCATGTAATCAGTGAGTTGAGACTGTGTAGGAGACTTTGTAGCATTTCTATACATTTTAAAATTTCAATCTTGTTTTTCTTTTTTAAAATTGCATTTCTGTACATTTATGGATACCTTCTTTTGTCCATTTCTCCCAGTGACTCCTCTACCTTCCAAGTCAACAATGGGAATATAAAATGGGATAAGGAATGCCAAGATAAAATTCCTTCAGAAAAAGAAATGAAAAGGAGCACACAGGATGAAGCTGTGGGGAGAAGGTTCAAGATCACAGTGAGTGTCCTGATAATATGTAGGTAAGGTGCAGGAGAGGTAGGTCAGAGGGAATTGGGTTGATACCATCTAAGGACAGGTCCAGAAAATGAATTAAAAGGGAAGGTTGTCTAAAGGGAAAGGTGGACTACTGCCAAGAATATGGAACAGATTCCCACTGGATGCCTTGCTTTGGCTCAAGCTGCATGTAGGATTATGAGTCTCTGAAATCTTTGTTAGATGGTCAGGAAGGATATTCAATATGTAAAATCTCCTGGAATCTTATAAATTAAGGCCATTTAGAACAGCTAAATTTTATTATTTTGAAGATCAATTTGCAATACAGAGAAAGGACAATTAAGAAATCCATGTATTGACCCAAAACAAAAAGAAAGAAAACCAAAAGGTGTATCATGTCAGTTGTCCCCACATTAAAAGTCTTTTGCGGGGAGGTACTAGGGACTGAATCCAGAAGTGCTTTACTACTGAGCTATATCCCCAGTCCTTTTTTTACTTTTTAATTTAAGACAGGTTCTCACTAAGTTGCTTAGGACCTCACTAAGTTCCTGAGGCTGGTCTCAATTTTGTGATCCTCCTACCTCAGCCTCCTGAGCTGCTAGGGTTATAAGCATGTGCTACCATGTCTAGCTAGAACTATTTTTTTTTTTTTCGGTACCAGGAACTGAACCCAGGGGCACTTAGCCACTGAGCCACATCCCCAGTCCTTTTTATTTTTTTAAAAAATTTTTAGTTGTTGATAAACCTTTATTTAATTTATTGATTTATATGTGGTGCTGACATCAAACCCAGTGCCTCACACATGCTGGGCAAGCACTTTACCACTGAGCTACAACTCCAGACCCCTTTATTTTTTTTTAATTTTGAGACAGGGTCTCACTATGTTGCTTATAGCCTTGTTAAATTACTAAGGCTGACTTCAAACCTGTGATCCTCCTGCCACAGCCTCCTGAGCCACTGGGATTACAGGTTTGTGCCACCATGCCTGACCTAGCTAGAACTCTGGAGAAGGTCACAGTAAAATTCTTGATTGTGTATGATAGCTGCCTTTAATTCCATGTTGTCTTTGTTTCGTCCCTTCTTTTTACCTTTAGATTCCTTATGGGATGAAGTATAATAAGACTTGGCTAATGAATTCAATCCTGAGCCATTGCTGTGTCCCCTTTACACCAATTGATGTAAGAGAAGATGGTGAAGCCAGCTGATGGGCACAGGGGAGGGGAAGAGGTCTGCCTCAGCAGGGACATTGGCATCTGACATTATTGCTTCTGCCTCCATTCCCTGTAGTTCCACTATATCAAAAATCGGGCCCAATTTTTTGTCCAGGATGCTAGTACTGCCTCTGCATTGAAAGATGTCAACTGCAAAATTTGTGATGAGGAAAATCAAAAGGTATAGGCTGAGATCATTCCTTAGTTTTGTTGGGATTGGGGAGGGGAATGAACAGGGGCTGGTTATCTTTGGACCCTGATGCTTACTCTGCCTCTTCTTCCCGTAGATATCGATCTTTGTCAATCCCTGTACTGAACCGAATACCTTGCAGAATAAATTCACTCCAGAAAAAATGGAGAAGCTAATGGTAATATAGACCTAAGGCACATTGTTTGAAAAGTTTCCTGGCCCACATTTCAACCTCCACCTAGTGATGTCCCTGTCACAACCACCCCCACAGCCTCAAAGCCCCTTTCTCCATCTCTGTCTCTGCAGCTGACGATGAACAAACGATATGATGTCTCACAGCAAGCCCTTGATCTCCAGAAGCTCCGCTTTGACCCAGGTATGACTGACAACAGTATTCTTAGGGCAGGTGAGGGCAGAGGGGTCTGCCTGGCAGGGAGACATAGAAATGGAAAATTGGGGAGGGGGTTCTTGCTACTGCTGCTCCACACAGACCCCTCTGAGCTTTCTGATCCCCTTCTCCTGGCTTCCTGAAGACTCGTTTTTTGTTTGTTTGTTTGTTTATTTGTCTTCCTGAAGACTTGATGGAACATGACATTGACATGATCCTAAACCGAAGACAGTGTATGTTTGCTACCCTTCAGATCATTGAAAGGAATTTCCCTGAGGTGAGATCTTAGGCCCAGGGCTGGTATTTTGGTAGAAGGGTGGAAGGGATGTTGTGAAGGGTAGATGTATATTCCCCACTCTCAATAGTAATCATTACACTAACCATTTCTTCCCGAAAGCTGTTGTCCTTGAACTTGTGTAACAACAAACTATACTGGCTGGATGGCCTGTCTGACATTGTAGAGAAAGCCCCCCAAGTCAAGATCCTGAACCTGTCCAAAAATGAGGTGAGAAGAGAGCAAGATGAAATTTGGGTTGTGGGTGGCTGGTAGTGCACAGCAGGATGTTGGCAAGAGGCAGACAAAAGCACCTGCGAGTGGAGGTATCTGGGTGCAGGTTCCCAGGTGTCCCTCTCTCCCTGGGTCCCTCTCTCCCTGGGTCTCCTTAACCGGTTCCCTCCCCATCTTTCTCAGCTGAGGACCTCCAAGGAGTTGGAGAAGCTGAAAGGGATGGAGCTGGAAGAGCTGTGGCTAGAAGGGAACCCTCTGTGCAGTGACTTCCCAGAGCAGTCTGCTTATGTAAGGTAGATAATGCCTGGTAACACCTGTCACCCTTCCTGGGGACCTTTGCCTCCTGGGAGCCGGAGCTCCCCCTGAAGTCCACCTCTGCAGGAGGATGCAACCTTGGCCCTCTGGAAGGATCACAGGCCACACCCTCTCCTCTATCTGTGTCCCTCAGCTGTGCCCACAGGTCTGCTTTCCTTCTTGCAACCTGCTCCCCTTTTTCAGCTGGACTGGGGTGTGTTTCCCGCCCCTCTGCACTGGCTTCCTCCAGCAAGCCCTCCGAAGATGGGGCTGGGCTTTCCTCCCCTGTCCTATGAGTGGCCCTTCTTCTCATGTTCCATAAAGGTCCCCCTTCCTGTCCCAGGCTGACATGGAGATTTTATGCCCGTGCAGAGGACCAGGGTGGCTACCATCACAACATCTGTTCCTCTAAGCCATTGGTGGGAACTGTTTCCTCCTTGGGGAGAAACAGGGGTTCCCTGAGTCAAGGAGCCAGAGGTGGGCCACTGACAGCGAGCAGAGGCCTTCCCAAGACAGGAGGGGAAGGCAGAGGGCAAAGGAGGGGCAGGAGGAGGAGGAGAAGGCGGGAGCACAGGCCACTCAGGAGCACTGCTGCTCTCTCCCCCACTCCACATCCCACCTGGTCCCTCAGAGCAGCCCTGGGTAGCCCAAGTCGAGATGCTTCCTTGGGCAAGACACTGACTCAGACAGGCACAGGTGCACAGGGACCACCATGAGGGAACCTGGTGCTCATAAGAGGGGGCCACAGACCCTCTGTCACATGCTGAGCTGGTGCCTGATTCTTCACTATTGGTGCTGGGAATGACACTTCCCCTGGGGGCGGCTCCTTTTCCCATACCTGGCCCCCTCTGGGCCCACACAGGAGACAGAGGCTGAACCTGCATCCTGTGGGCCCCAGCCCAGCAGGTACATGTTTGCATTCCTGCCTGGGGCTGCAGGGCCAGCTAGGGGCAGGTGAAGGAATGGGCTGCAGTAGGGCAGCTGGTTTCTTCTCACTTCTGCCTTGACCTCCAGCACCAGGGGGCAGCATCTTCCCCTTCTCTTTGCTTTGCTTCCTCTTTCCCCATCCCTCCATCCCCTGCCTTCACTCCCTTTCTGTGGCCATACCCCTGCCTTCCCCTGCCTGCCTCACTCACCAAACCCCCACCCCCACCCAGCATCCTATCCTGGGAGGCGAGAGTATGACCTGGTCTTGGTCTGGCCAGGCCAGGCCATGCCACGCGGAAGGCTGGACACCCAGCACAGTAGCAGAGCCCTGGTCTCCCACCCCATTCCCTGCTCCCTTCAGAGCCTTCCATGGGGGGACCCGGAAGAAGGTAAGGGAGGCAGGGTGGGCCCTGGAGGAGGGGGCCAGGCCAGTGTAGATGGGAGGTACCCAGGGGGAGGGAGAGGGAGGAGAGCAAGAGGGAGAGAGTGTGCACAACCCTCCACTGTCACCTCACTTCATTAGATTTTTCATTTGCACAGTGCTATCCAGGATTGTTTCCCCAATTTGTTACGCCTGGTAAGTACGCACTTCCGGTCTTGTCTCCTCTTACTCACATGCCTGACCTCCTTGCTGGCCCCAGGCCTTGTGGGCCTTGCCTAGATTACGTGTGCGTGTGCACCAGACCCTCATTTTTCTTAAAGGGCATGGATTCTCCATGGCATGGACATTTTCCCTAGGGAGAACACACGTGCACACACCCATACACACCCACTCACAGGGTGCATATACTGGYAGAGATTTCCAAGAGCTCATGATGGCAGACACCAAGTGTGATCTCACCCATGGAATATCCAAGGCCATTTTATACATGGCCTCTGGCCCTTGTTTCCCCCTGGGCCTGTTTAACTCCTTGCTCATGCAGTGCCACCACCCTGATCTTCACTGTTGACCTCCCCTTCCCTTCTCAAGGATGGCCAGGAGTTACCAGAATCAATTGGAATTGACAATGAAACACCTGAAATAATAAAACCTTGTAAGGTGAGGAGGGATCATCAATATTTGAGGTGTTGCAATGGAGGTTTTGTCAATCATGTAGTTTCAAGGTGTCTTCATTTCAGGAAAGCTATAAAGGATGTGATAATCTGAAGAGTCTAGTATTGCAATTCCTGCTTCAGTAAGTTCTCCTGGGATCTTGAGGGCAGGGAGGGCTGGCACAGTTTGGGTTAACTTAGCACAGGTCTGCTCACAGTATTTTAAGGTATCATTTGGGGGCGGGGCCCCAGAGATAGCCTGTCCCCTTTGCTTCTCCACAGGTATTACCTCATTTATGACTATGGAGATCGACGCGGTCTCCTTGATGCTTACCATGATGAGGCCTGCTTCTCCCTGACCATTCCCTTCAACCCTGAGGACCCAGACCCGTGAGTATCACAATTCAGACTCTGGCCTGGGACCATGTAGCTCTCTCCTGGAAATACCTGCACTGGCTAGACTACCACCCTCTGTTCCTCTTTTTCTTTAGGAATAGCTTGGAAGAGTATTTCAAGGATAATAGAAATATAAAGAAACACAAGGACCCTTGTAAGTCTGTGATAAGAGAAGCTTGGCATGAGAAATATGATGTCAAGGACTCAATAATAAGCCATGGGGCAACAATTTTCCAGTCCCCATCTTTGCTTTTCTTCCCCATACAGTTTTGCGGATGCAGCTGCTAAAGCACACAAAATGTGACATTGTGAACTGCCTCAGTGTATTGCCGAAAACTCAGCATGATTTTAACTCGTATGTGATAGACCTATGTGTCCAGACAGTGAGTACCCATTTCTTCCCTCAGGCAGGCATAGGTTTCTGAAGTTTCTGAAGTTTCTTGACATAGGTAGTAAATTTCTGAAGGATCATGAAAGACCTAGATTTTTATTCCTCCATTTCAGGAAATGATGCTCTGTTTTTCTGTCAATGGATTGTTCAAGGAAGGTGAGTATCTGCAGATGCCCCTTACCAGAGTGCTCATGACTCCCTTCTCCTTGCTGGGTTCCCTCCCAGTATTCTCTGAGCCCACATTCTTTTCCTTCTTCTCCTTTTTCTTCCTTTCATATTTTCCCCACTGCTACTGGGGATCAGACCAAGAGCATCACACATGCTAAGCAAATGCTTTACCACTGAGCTATATCCCTAGCTTCTTTCCTTCCTTTCTTTTCCCTTCCTGTATGACTCCCTTTTTGTTCTCCCACCCTATTTTTTTTCTCGCAAGTGACTGATCTGATCTACATCCATGTGTGTCTGCCCTACACAACTCAGGCATTAGGAACACAGGCTGTGGAGTTTTATGGCTCTCATTCCAGGTCCTTAATGTGTTAAATCTGGCCTGATACTTAACACCTCAGTTTCCTCACTTGAATAATCGGGGGGGGGGGCTAGGGCTGTAACTCAGTGGCAGATCACTTGCCTAGCACTTATGAGGCACTGGGTTTGATTCTTAGCACCACATAAAAATAAACAAACAAAATCTACAACTTCAAAATTAAAAAAAAAGAAAAATGGGGCTAATAATATTCATCTCTTGGGCAGCTGTGAAAAATGAATCAAGTGAGCTTATGTTTGTCAAGGAACCCACGTTAGGGGGTCTTTTCAGTGGGAGCTGATTTATTTCTACTGTGGCTGCCTCAAACCCTGAAATTCCCTCCTAATTCCCAGTAAAAAGTTGTTGGAGTTTGGTTTTCTTCAGGGTGCTCGTGAGTATCAGGCAAGACCCTTACTGGGGAACACTGTATGTAAACATGAATATGCAGGTCTAAGGGGGCATCATTGTTTATTGTCATTGAAGTGGAAGGAAAGTCTCAGGGTTCTGTTCGTGCCTTCACCCGGACCTTCATCTTAACTTCTGGCAGCAATTCCAGGTAAGCACAATGTTGTGGATGGCAGTGGTAACACCATCCAAGCTTCCATTCAGTAGTGCGATTAGTATTGTCTTGGGGTCTTCTCTACACTGGGGAAAGCCAACAGATAGATTCAAGGAGAAGTCTAGAATAGTGGTTAAGAGCATGGAATCTAAAGTCAGAATAGATTCTCATTTATCCTAACACTTATTAATTAGCTGTGTGACCTTTGTCAAATTATAAGACTTTTCTGTAACTAGTTGACTTCCTCTGTAAATGGGGAAGAGTGCCCGCTTTTAAATAAAGGGAGTTAAATCTGTAATGTAATGAAGGTAGTAGACAATCTCTCAAAAGGTAGGTTCTAGCATGGGTTAAGGTTACCAGCCAAGAGAGCTAAGAGGTAGGCAGTGTAGGGGTTTGAAAGGAATCTGGTTGCTGAGTAGCAATGGAAACAGGATCACCATTGGGAGTGTGGGGTTGTCCATTTGTCTGATTATTTGAGAATTCACCTTTCCTTTAGTCTGTGCATCGTGAATGATGAGATGATTGTGAGGAATGCCAGCCCCAAAGAGACCCAGAGCGCCTTCTCCATCCCCATGCTTACACCCTCCTCCAACTATGTGCCTGACCTCTACCAGGAGCAGCAGGGAATAGCACAGCCTTTCTCCACCAAGTATGAGATGCAGAGCCTTGAGCGCTCTCAGAAGTGAGTGCTGAGAGTCTCTGGGGATAGACTTGAATTGGAAGAAGTGGGAATTTAATAATGGAAATTTTCAACTAATTTGTAAAAATAACACTTGTATATTTTGTTTCCAAAATGGGCTCATGAGAAAATATATATTAATGTTATCGTGATAATGTAAGTAATTTTAAAACAATGCAATATTTAAATCAGATAGCATGATCTCAAATTCTAAGCATGATATCAAATTCTAAGGAAACCACCAAAAACTTAAAATTAGTATGTTAGGTCAGCACTGTTTCAGGGCACTCAATCAATATGCAAAAATCAACCATATTGCCATATACTAGCAATGAACAATCAGAAAAATAAAATAAAGAAAAAAATTCCATTTCCAATAGCATCAAAAAGTAACATGTTTAGGGCTGGGGATATAGCTCAGTTGGTAGAGTGCTTGCCTCACATATACAAGGCCCTGGGTTCAATCCCCAGTACCACAAAAAGTAACATATTTAGGCTGGATTTGGGGGCACATGCCTATAATCCTAGCAGCTTGGGAGGCTGAGTCAGGAGGATAGTGAGTTTAAGACCAGCCTCAGCAAATTAGTGAGGCCTTGTCTCAAAATAAAAAGGGCTGAGGATGTGTCTCTCGGTGGTTAAGCTTCTCCGGGTTCAAAAAAAAGTAAGATATTTAGGAACATATTTATCAAAAAGTATAAAGCATACACTCCAAACTCAATAAAGCATTGTAGAAATGAATTACAGATTTAAATAAATGGATGTACATCCCATGGACCTGGATTGGAAGACTAAATATTGTTTAGATGGCAGTCACTTTCCAAATTTATATTGCAGATTCAGTGTAAATGCAATCTATATCAAAATTTTAGCTTCCTACATTGTAGACATTTACAAATTGATCCTAAAATTCCCAAGAAAATACAGTTAACTTAGAAAAGAAAAATAATCTTGAAAGAGAAGAACAGAATTGGAGGACTCACTAAAATGTGGCTGTAAACTTATAGTAAACAATTTGTACTGGATAGTATAGGCCTTAAAACAGACATGTATATGAATAGAATAAAATAAGAGTTCAAATAAAAAAAAACAACTTTTATGGTCAGTTGCATTTCAGTCAGAGTGTGAAAATAGCCTTTTTAAAAAACTGGTACAGGAACAACTGGATATCTACTTACAGATGAATTTATTCCCTACTCTCATGCCATAAAAAAGCAAATTAAAAATGGGTCAAAACCCTAAAAGTTGGGCTGGGGATGTGGCTCAAGTGGTAGCGCCCTCGCCTAGCATGTGTTAGGCACTGGGTTTGATTCTCAGCACCACATAAAAATAAAATAAAGATGTTGTGTCCACCTAAAACTGAAAAATAAATATTTAAAAAGCCCTAAAAGTTAAAGCCAAAACATTAACATTTTTAGATGAAAACATAGGAGTAAATTTTTGCGACATTGACTTAGACAATGGTATCTGACATATGACAGCAAAAGTGCAAGAAAAAAGGAAAAATTTAGTGGAGTTCATCAGAATTTCTAACTTTTTTTGCATTAAAGGACACTATAAAGTGAAAAGGCAATCCAAAATAAGAGAAAATATTTATATACTTTGTGTCTGATAAAGGACATATCCAGAATCCATAAAAAAACTCTTCAGCCAGTCACAGTGGCACACACCTGTAATCCTAGTGGCTTGGGAGGCTGAGGCAGGAAGATCATAATTTCAAAGCCAGCCTCAGCAACAGTGAGGCACTGAAGCAACTCAGTGAGACCCTGTCTCTAAATAAAATAGAAAATATGGCTATGGGTGTGGCTCAGTGTGCGAAAGCCTCTGAGTTCAATCACTGGTACCAACGCCAAAAAAACTCTTCAACAATAAAAAGACATGTAACCCAATTAATATGGCCAAGTAACTAAATAGACATTTTTTTTCAAAAAAAGACACACAAATATACAAAAAGTACTTGGAAAGATACTAAGCATTATTAGTCACCTGGGAAAAGCAAATCAGAAAGTGAGATACCACTTGTTTCCCACCACAATGAATGTGATTTTTTAAAAATGGAAATAACAAGTGTTGGCAAACATGGATTAATCAGAACCGTCCTACATGGCTAGTGAGAATGGAAAATGGTGCAATCATTGTGGGTTGGCAGTTCCTCACAATGTTAAACATGAGGTTACCATATAAATGAGCAATTCTACCAAGACAGATAAATACATAGGTTCACATGAAAACTTGTACACAAATGTTCATAGCAACATTATTGATAATAGCCCCAAAATGGAAACAACCAAAGTGTTCATCAGTTTATGAATGGATAAATTAATATGAGATATACACATCCAGATATATGCACATATATGTATATTATTAAGCAATAAAATAGAATAAAATTGTGATACACTGTATAACAAGGTGTAGAATAAAATTGTGATACACTCTATAACATGAACCTTGAAAATATTATGCTTAAGCGAAATAGCCAGTTATAAAAGACTACAAATATCATTTCATATTTTTTATGAAAAATCCCCAAATGAACAAATCCATAAGGACACAAAACAGAATAAGGTTTCCCAGGTCTGGGGACAGGTAGAACTGGGGAGTGACTGCTAACAGGTAAGGAGTTGTGTTTGATTTTGCTAAGATGGTGAAACAGTTTTGGCATTGGATAATTGTGATGGTTGTACAATCTTGTAAATATACTAGAAAACCATTGAATCATACACCTTAAGATGGCAAATGCTATAATATGTGCCATATACCTGGATTTGGAAGTGACTGGAACATTTTTATTTTTGAATTTCAGTGTCTTATTTTCTTGAGCATCTTTGATGTCATTATATGTTAATATCATTTATTTTTCTAAACACTCCTGATTTTCTGCTTTGAATTCTGGTGAGCATGAATGTTAGTCATAGATATTTTAGTTTTCATAAGGTCATTATTCATCATTACAATGGTACTCATTCTGGCTCATGTATCCTAGCATAAGAGTGGCATTAAGAGGTGGCATTTTGTAGCCAGTGTGCATGTCCTGGGATGTTATGGAGATCACCTGTTTTTCAGGTGCCTTGAAGACAAGAGGGAGAACTAACCAGAGTTGGTCAGGTCTTCACTGTGTTCCAGGTGAGGTATGGGAATCAAGGGATGAAAAATGGACTCTGAACCTTTGGAAAGGTGGTGGCCTGGGGATGGGGTTGGGGATGCACCAACCCCATCAGGGCACCTGGTTCTTCTAAAAGCCTAACTCCTTCATTCCTTCTAGGTCAAGAATCCACAGGAGGCCTCAAACAGATGCCCTGAAAGGAGCCCTTGAATGTCATTTTCCTTTTAATCCACATTATTGTGTCTCTCTTACTAACTTACAATCATGCCCATGGCTGAGGTTGACAGTCTTGCTGTTCAAGAAGCCAAAGTTAACTTGTGGGTCAGGTAATACAACCATCCAAAAAGCCAGTTGTTATGATTATTTTTCACCACTGAAGATGGCTGTTTATTATCATAATAAAGAGTGAAATTGCATGTTGCATTTATGTGTCCTGGGTTGCTCTTCCCCTGCCCTAGCCATGAGCCAAGGGAGTCAGGACTGAAAGGCCATGTGTACCACCATACACCACCCAGTTCATCCCTGGGAAGCCAGGTACTTAGTGAATAAAGACTCATGAGAAAGGACACATGCTACTTTAGTAATTCACTTTTGGAGACATTAGGGGCTCTGTGAGATGCTCTTTGAGGAGGCCCACAGAAGCAGGCATATGCACCGGTACAATAGGTGCTTCTCAAGGATGTCTCTTGGCTATTGGGGGCTGCAGAAGGAAAGGATTAAGGGAGGGAAGGAAGGAAGAAAGGTAGGTAAGTGAGGGCTTACATATTTTACTTCTCATTCCTAGTCATTTGAGCATTTTCATAGATCATACCATGCTCAACTTTGTGATTTGTGCACAGGTGAATGGGAAATGGGCCTTTCCGCAGCTCTCCCTGCACTTCCATCTGTCTGGAAACCATGACATGGCCCATCAACTTCCTCTACACCATCAGGCTTTCACATCCTCAACCTCCTTCCCTAGCCAGATCAGAAAACATGGTTTCCTTCCACTCACCCACTTGCCTATTCCCATAGCTACCTTTGGGCCCATGCTACTAGGCAAGCAAATGTTAACCCTGAGATGCCCACCATGTGCATTTGTGTGTGCACAAACATACTTCTCTGTATGCCGATTTTCCTATTTCTCCATGTGTTCACAAACACTTGTTATCCCCCTCTCTTTTCTTTTTGTTGTTCTTTTTATTTTTTTGGAGTTGTGGGCACCAGGGATTGAACTCAGGGGCACTCAACCACTGATCCATATCCCTAACTCTATTTTGTGTTTTATTTAGAGACAAGGTCTCCCTGAGTTGCTTAGCTTCTCACTGTTGCTGATGCTGGCTTTGATCTCACTATCCTCCTGCCTCACCCTCTACAGCTGCTGGGATTACAGACATTTGCCACTGCCCCAGGATGTTGTTCTTTTTCTTTTTTTTTTTTTAAAGAGAGGGGGGGGAGAGAGAGAGAGAGAGAGAGAGAGAGAGAGAGAGAGAATTATTTATTATTTATTTTTTAGTTTTCAGCGGACACAACATCTTTGTTTGTATGTGGTGCTGAGGATCGAACCCGGGCCGCATGCATGCCAGGCCAGCGCGCTACCGCTTGAGCCACATCCCCAGCCCTGTTCTTTTTCTTTTTGAGAGAGTTTTTATGTACTCTCAGAGACCCTAATCAGATACATGATTTTCAAACATTACTCCTACTCTGTAGGTAGTCTTTTCACTTAATTCATCCTCTCCTGAACAGTTTCCTGTTTTGATGAAGTCCAATTAATGCATTTTTCCTTTGCTTCCTCATGTTTTTGGTGATCTGTACATATTATATACATATGTTAAAATATCACACTTGACCTCAGAAATATGTATAGTTACTATAGGTTAATCAAAATATTTAAAAGGTTTTTTGGGAAAGGGTACTAGGGATTGTACTCAGGGACATTCAGTCACTGATCCACATTCTCAGCCTTATTTTGTATTTTGTTTAGAGACAGGGTCTCACTGACTTGTTAGTGCCTTGCTGTTGCTGAGACTGGCTTTGAACCCATGATACTCCTGTCTCAGTCTCCCAAGCCACTGGGATTACAGGTGTGAAAAATATTTAAAAGTTTAAGGAGGTGGAAATACTACCTACTGTGATGTAACCATACCACATTTTATATTGTATACATTTATCAAATTATCACCCTGTACTTCATAAAAATGCACAATTGAAATAATAATAAAGACGTTTATTGTCACATCCAAATTTCTCTGTTTTCTCCCAAGAGTTTTATCGTTTTAGCTCTTATAGTTTGGTCTTTGATTCATGTTCAGTTAATTTGCTGTGTGGAATGGATCCAAATTCACTCTTTTGCATGCGGTTATCCAGTTTTCACAGCCCCATTTATGAAAGACACTTTTGTTTGTTCTATTGTAAATTTTGGGGAGAGACTTATTTGCCTTTTTCCTCATGTTTTCAGAGGTCTTAGACTTGTGCATCTGTTGAGATGGATTCCTCTTGTTCTTTTATGAAGAGATTCTTTTGTGAGTGGTCCTGTGTTTTAGCTTCAATACATAGGATAAGTGTAATACAAGTGTTAATTTCAACCTCCAATGTCTCTTTGAAAGGAGAGAGTGCTACAAGTAACAGTAGTAGTTTAAAAGGGATTGGACTCAGGGGCACCATGTATTAACCATGTATTAATGTACATTGTAAATGTAATTACTAACAATCTCTACAACTCTAGAAATCCAAGTGAAACAGGAGTGAGGTCTAATATGATATAGGTTTAAAGGGTGACAAATTATTAACTGAATACAATATTGAATTTGAAGGTGGGATAAAAAATAAACAAAAGGAAAAGAGAAAAGGAGAGGAAATAAAAGGAAAAAGGGAGGGCTGGGGATGTGGCTCAAGCGGTAGCGCGCTCGCCTGGCATGCGGGTGGCCCGGGTTCGATCCTCAGCACCACATACAAACAAAGATGTTGTATCTGCCGAGAACTAAAAAAATAAATATTAAAAATTCTCTCTCTCTCAAAAAAAAAATAAATAAATAAAAGGAAAAAGTGAAAGAAGAAAGCAGGGGAGGGGGAGGAGACAGGTTCAAATGGGAAAAGTGAGTGCAGAAAATCAGGTGGTATGGAATAGTTGTACATTACAGAGACTAGTTATTGGTTAATATAAATCAATGTACTAATTATCATTTGGCAGTTCAGATAATTGTTGCAGAAGTTTTTTGAAATAGTCTTTTGAATCTGCTGTTTCAAATTTTTGAAACTGCCTTCAAAATTTAAAATGCCTTTGATTTCATCTCTGACCCAAATGAGCCAAACTTGTTACATGAGTCTATATGCAGAATTCAACCCCTTCTTTGCCTGGCCATCATTTTTTTTTTTTTTTTTTTGGTACCAGGAATTGAACCCAGGGGCACTTAGCCACTGAGGCACTCCCAGCCCCATTTTGTATTTTATTAAAGACAGAGTCTCATTGAATTGCTTAGGGCCTTGCTAAGTTGCTGAGGCTGGCTTTGAACTTGCAGCTCTCCTGCTTCAGCTTCCTGAGCCTCTTGGATTATAGGCGTGTGCTACTACATCTGGCTCTGGTCACCACAGTGCATGGGTGTAAACAGGTTTTCACTTTCAAAATGGCATTATTGTGTCCTGAGGTGAGAGTGTGAGTCTGTCAGGACAATTGAACAACTCTATAAATTACTCATATTAAATGAAGTCTGAGACCTAGTGTCTGTTTCCACCCTTTTGTGGGGCTTTTGAGTTTCATACAGTGCCCCAAATACAGGAGACGTTCAGATGTTAAATGATGGAAGGAGGGAGAGAGGAAGACTTGGAAGGGAGGAATGCAGAAGGAAGGTAACTGACTCCAAAGGAAACACAGGGGAAGAAGACACATTCCTGGAGAGTAAGGGAAACTCCTTCACCTGATTCCTCTGTAGACCTATCTGGCTTGAATTGCTCCTCTCACTCAGAATCCCTGTTCCTGTAATATGTTTGGGTGGGTTGGCTTGAGACTTTCCCTATGATCTTCCTTAGATCCAGATCCTCACCCCTGTCAGCCACACTCTATCTCGCAGATCAGTCTACAATTTCCAAGGCAAGTGACCTTTGTTTTTCTCCACTTCAAAGCCTCAATAGGGTCAAAATATCTCTTTTATATTCAGAGTGGGGCTAGGTTTGGGCACCAAACATCAATTCAAAAGTATAACTTACGTGCCTTACTTGGTTTCAAATCAGCATACTCCAGTGATACAGCTACATCAATGTTTATAGCAGCTCAATTCATAATAACTAAGCTATGGAGTCAACCTAGGTGCCCTTCAACAGATGAATGAATAAAAAAATGTGATATATATATATATATATATATATATATATATATATATATATCTCACATATATATTAGAGTTTACTTAGCCATTAAGAAGAATGACTTTATTAAGTTTGCCAGTAAATGGATAGATCTGAATACTATCATGCTAAGTGAAATAAGCCAGTCCCCAAAAGCCAAAGGTCAAATGTTTTTACTAATAAGTGGAAGCTAACACACAATAAGGGGAAGGGAGGGACAGAAAAGAGAAATTCAGTAGATTAGACAGAGAGGAATGAAGGGATGAGAGGGGGCCTAGTAAAAAGAAATAACATAATTTTCCTATGCACATATAAGAATACACCACAGTGAATCCCACCATTATGTATATCCATAAGAATGGGGCTCAGAGGAATTCACAGTGCTGCAGCAGCTCTGCAAGAATAAGTTATATTTCATGTTTGTATAATTATATGAAAATGGATTCTACTGTTATACTGTTATATATAACTAAAAAGAACCAGTAAAAATAAATAAAATTTAAAAAAATTTAAAAGCTATCATACAAAGTACCAGACCAAAAGAAAAAGAGAAATAAAGAAACAAACATAAATTCAGCCAGGAGAAAAAATGTGATTGATTTCTGGAAAACAGTGGTAAGCTGTAGGAGTTCCAAGCTTGCTTAATATATCCCTTCAAGCTATTGTCAGTGCTTCCCCAGCTCTATCACCTCTGCTACAGCTATTCTGGTATCTTAGTTGAGGCTTATCAGTTCTGACTCCAGCCAGGGACTCACAGGCTTTCTCCCAGCTAAATACAGCCCAGATTTTCTGAGTTTATGACCTGCTCCAGTTGCAGATATGATGGGCATCTGTTTTTCTTTCTTTCTTCTTCTTTTTTTAAGCTCAGTGGGGAAGTGATTTTCTTCTTG